AGCCCTGCTTGCGGACCTGCGGCAGCCACTAGGCTCTTACAGTTTATCAGGAAGTTCAGCAAGGTGAAGGTGTTTGTTCCTTTCACTAACGCAAGGGATTCGGGTTTGTGATCCATCCGCACCTCATGCTTCTCCTTACGACTGCATTGGCTGGAGTCAAAGGAAAACCAGGAGGAAGTGAAAAGCATCAGTGCACCACAGGAAGAACCGGAGCAGTGCAATTCCGGAACTCTCCCACCCTGCCTCTGACCAATCAAGTCATTTGAACAAACCCCAAAAAACCCACGAAGCTTTACAATGATCTGGATTTGTTCTTCAAATACTAAGCAGCACCTTAAACCTCACTTCTGATTTCATTATTAAAGTCGTGAGATAAAAGCGTTTTCCAGGTTCAGTGTCTTACAGCTGGCAAGTTACGGTTACTGAATACCTATGAAGTTAGCAACTCCCACTTCTACTGTGAATTTGGCTTCAAAGAAAACATAAAAACATAAGCATTTGGAGTTTAGACCGGAAGTTTGCTTTTGAAGCGCATCCCCTGACCGTCCCCGCTCAGGGTGTGTTGCTGTGGGGCAGGCTCAGGAAGCTGAAAGGAGATTCCTCTTGGCCAAAAGCCAGCAGAAGCTGCCTGGGGCAGCGCAAGGGCAAAGGCAACCAGGGGAAAAGAGAGTTAATTGGTCCCTCTGAAACATGTACAGGTCCTCAGCAACAGCCGTTCTGGTCTACAGCCGTGTCCCTACGATGCCATGCTACTTCTACATGTGAACCTAGCCTATATAAACATGCAGCCTTTTCTTTAAAAAAAAAAAAAAAAAAAATCTAATGAGGCTTTCCAGTAAACCTGTATGTGAGGTGACATGATCAGTTTGTGACCTAACAGATGGATCTTACAAAGCTACATTGACAATTCACAATGGCTTGTCCTTCAAGAAGAGGAGCATCTAGAAATACCTGTCATAAAGAAACTCAAAAAGACACGCAGAGTCTCGATACGAAGTAATGTGAGGATTAATGTTTGGAAATAAGTTCTCAAAAGCTCTTACAAAACTTAAATGTGTACCACAAAAAGATAGTATTCAGCAGGGTTTTCCAGTGTCATGATGCGCAAGGAAAGGATACAGTTTTATAGAAATAGCATCTGGTTTCTTACGTTAAACACGGCAGTTGGCTCGTGCGTGTAGAACACGGCAGAGAAGGCTCCCCTCTGTGCTGACTTGAGCAGCGTGGTCAGGGAATGCAGGGAATGAGGCAGGACAGGGCCTATGATCTCCAAACTGAACACATCCTCGTAGGCCAAGTGAACCCTGGCTTTGGCATTTATACTTCGAGCCTGAAGACGAGAACATGTAGGATTAGCTTTTGACGCGCCATGCCCTACTTTTCATTGACTTTAAAACTGCCGTGCCACAGCCCTCTTCAAAGTTCAGAATACTTCCCGATATTGTCAGCTCGCTATTCAACACGCTGCGATGGTTTTACTGTCTTTGTAATGTCTCCTAAAACATACCGATGAAGATAGGCAC